CCGTACGACCGCAAAACCCGTCCCGTCAACGGCAACACACAATTTTTCATAGAATGCACTTTGTCTCTGTAGAACCCAGCCCCCACGGGAGGTTCACGCAAACTCTTGGTTTTGCGTCTGAAANACTGAAGCAACCTGCCGTAAGCCGTACCGATCCTAATCTATGCGGTAGTGTTATATATAGACTATACGACACCGGTGTCGTACTTCCTTATATACGACACCTACCATTTCTTGGCCCACAGGGCTCCAATCGGCGTACAACAAAATGCGCTGTGTAGCCACGGCCCGCAGCTATCAGCCCATACCATTTTGGGTCAAACCGGCCAAGTGGTTGCGGAGAAAGAGCCGAAAATAGGGGGCTCCGAAAATAGGGGGCTCCGCAACTTACCGGGGGGGTGTCAGCGACGTTCCGGTCATAACTCCTTGCACAGACATCGCCTGATCGCACGTAAACTCGCGATGAGTAGATAAGCTTATATACTCTTCAACCACTTGGCTGATTTGACCCAAAATGGTATGGGCTGATAGCTGCGGGCCGTGGCTACACAGCGCATTTTGTTGTACGCCGATTGGAGCCCTGTGGGCCAAGAAATGGTAGGTGTCGTATATAAGGAAGTACGACACCGGTGTCGTATATAACACTACCGAACAAAAAATGGTCAAGAAGCGCAAGGCGTACATCACGATGTATAACGACAACACGTATACGTGAGAATTACCACTGGATTCGGCAACCAAAAAATTACCGTCAAAAGAAACGACAAAAAAGAACGAAACAAGATCAAGAACACTTGAAAAATTCGGATTTCACCGACACCCGTAAACTGGCGTCGAAAAAAGGAAAACACAAGAAAAAAAATTATCAAGCTTGCCCGTCAACTCANACGACAACACGTATACGTGAGAATTACCACTGGATTCGGCAACCAAAAAATTACCGTCAAAAGAAACGACAAAAAAGAACGAAACAAGATCAAGAACACTTGAAAAATTCGGATTTCACCGACACCCGTAAACTGGCGTCGAAAAAAGGAAAACACAAGAAAAAAAATTATCAAGCTTGCCCGTCAACTCAACCAGTTCCAATCGTGAAGATGAAGCGCGCCCTCGATCGTCCACAAGTCGATCCTGCAGATCCCGATCTCCATCGTCCCTTCCCGGCTTATGAAATGCGCGCGGAGACTCTCCACGCGACTTTGATGACACCGCCATATCGCTGTGCTCCACCCCAAATGCCCACCTCCGGCTGATGGTTGCGCGCCACCTCCGCGCGACAAAACATGCTGCCCCCCCCCGCTCCGACGACGAGGCAGAGCAGCCACGGCCCGTCCGTCCGTGCTGGGTTGTGCGCCATCTTCGCGCGACTTCAAGTGCTACCCCCCCGGCTCCAAACGGCAAGGCAGGACAGCCACGGCCCTTCCGTCCGTGCTGTGGTTGAAAAATGCCGTCCGCTTCACGCGTGATACGGCACCCACCCCCCGACGCGCCGTCGCGCGTGTCAACCGTGGTAGGGCGAGCACGGCCACTCTGCCGTGCCTGTGATCAACTTAGAGAAAACACCGTNCAAGTGCTACCCCCCCGGCTCCAAACGGCAAGGCAGGACAGCCACGGCCCTTCCGTCCGTGCTGTGGTTGAAAAATGCCGTCCGCTTCACGCGTGATACGGCACCCACCCCCCGACGCGCCGTCGCGCGTGTCAACCGTGGTAGGGCGAGCACGGCCACTCTGCCGTGCCTGTGATCAACTTAGAGAAAACACCGTCCGCGTCAAGCGAGTGCGGCGCCCACCCCCCACACGCCGTCGCGCGGTCAATCCATGGTAGGGTGTCTCCGGCTATTCTGCCCAACGGTCACTCTACCGTCCCTGCTTTCCACCGCCTCCTATCCCGCAGATGGAGTGCGCACCGTCAATTGTGCGACTTTCATGGCCCCTCTGTCCATGCTGTGCTTGCGCGCCACCTCCGCGCGACTTCGTCCGGCCCCCCCACCGCAAATCAGCGGCGCTGAGGGCCTACGGCCAACCTGCCGTACCGTATTAGCAACACCACCTGTCCACCCTAGAAACTTTCAGTTATCACTTCCTGCACCTTTGCTTCCTTCTCGTCTTCGGTCAGCTTCTCCCAACTAGGATCCATCTTGCACAGTTCCTCCGCGCGGTCGTACTGCTCTTCGAAACTCACCACCGCGAAGTTGGCATGCTCCACTACCGCCATGCACGCTTCCTCCGTGGGTGTCGCACACTTCTCGCTGTTGTGCCCAAAGCCCGAACACGTGTCGCACTGCTCCAGGAAGTCCTCCTCCTTCGTGGTGCAGTCGGGCTTCCTATGCCCGCGGTGGTTGCACCGGAAACACCTCCGGTGGTCGACCCGGTCGTCCGTCCCCGCCTTCTTCTTGCTGCCACGGCCGTTGCTCTTACTGCCGCGGCCGCCGCCAGCCTGCCGCCCCTTCCCGGTGCCGTCACCCGCAATGTACGCCTGCTCCCCCCCGGATCCTTTTTCTCCTTCCTTCCTCCATTCCTCGGTGAGAAGGTTAAATCGGGTTGAGAGCTGTTGTACAAGGATATCCCTCGTCAGCGGTTGGACCACCGACAAGGTTTGCTTGGTGACTTCGTATTCGGGGTTGGGCAGCGAATCGATAAGTCGGGCGAACACGAACTGGTCGTTTACCGTGGCTCCGCCCCCTTGCCGCATCATGTTGGCCATACCCATGAGCTTGTTCAAACTGGCGACGGGGTTCTCCTTCCGAGGAGTCTGGTACTGCTGGAACTCTCTGAAAAGCTGCTGCTGTGCACCCTGTGTCTCCGGCAGGTATGCCGCATCTAGTGCCGCAGGGCTTCCCTTGGGTTCGTGCAACGACGGAGGATGGCTTTGTCCGTCTCAGTAGTCAACGCGGCAGAGAGGAAATTCCACGCCAGATACGTCTTGCGGATTGCTGCATACGAAAACCCCTGCTCGAGAAAGGCGGTCTGTGGCTTGTTGATGTCCGGCAGCACCCCGCCGCCGGAGAACACATCGCCTATGTCGAGAATGCCTGCCTGCACGATCATATCCTGCCTCCACCCCGGGTACTGCTCGGCTCCTTTCTTGAGCTGTGGTGGGTTTACGTGAGACGCGGCGAGTTTCAAAATTCCGCCGCCTCCCGTGAAAAGACCCTCACCAGCGACATCACCGCTGACGAAAACACCACCAACGCCACCGCCGGTTGCGGCTGCCTCACCTTGTGAGCCATATCCTCTGCCGTAGCCGCCTACACCCACCGTGCCCGTCGCGGCGGACCCCTGGCTGCTGTTCGGGGCGGCAGCGTCACCGCTGACCCCTGTCGATGCCCCTCGCGGTCGTGCCCATTTTCGTGCCCCGGCTCGTCGCCGTCGCCTTCTTGCGCGTTCCTCTCGACCTGGTCGCCGAGCCCACCCGGCCCGGCGTCGTCGTCGTCGCATTTTCTTTCGCCCTCCTCGCTGTCGCTGTCCGACAGGAACCCGACGGCACCAGCGTCGAGGCCATTATGCATGATGTCGTTGCCTTCAGCCTCGTGGTCGCCCCCTGTGTTTCCCATACGTACATGACGTGGGGTTCAAGAAAAATCGTAGCATTCATTAGAATAGGTGTTTGGAAGGAGGGGCTGTATGTGCGCGCTGACGGAAGGGTTGACCATGGATGCGTAAGAATTAGGGGTACTAGCGTTAGTTAATAGTCTACAGAGGGCGAGGTGAGGTTTGTGCGGACGAGTAGTACCAGAGCCTTTCGTGTTAGAGAGAGTCTCGAAGGTCCTGGCGCATGGGGTGAAGCGCTAGAAGGCGGTTTAAAGGCGCATACCCGGCGTCAGGCGTTGCGCCCCACACCAAAAATACGGTGTACCCCATTTTGTGCCCAAACACGCGGGGTATGCCCCATTTTTTCAATTGCCGTTAAGTTAATCAAGGAAGAAACGGCTCTTGTGGAGATTTTCAAGAACATACAAAGGCCTTTTTTTGCGTCCAGGGCGTATAGGACTTGGATTGCTATCTACGACTGCAGAGCGCGACTCAAGGAAACCTTCAAAGTTGTGATGTCATTATGAAGGGAGGTGTCAGAATAGACACGACGACCGTGAAAAAGGTTTTGTGTTGTCACCTTGGAGGTACGGGGAGAACGCTATCTTGGCGCTATCCTCGGTTATGACATCGGAGTGCAGGAGCTCTCCAACTGGGCGCCCGGGTCTCGTGGTGAAGCGTAACGCTGCAGCCTACACACTGCAGCAAGTATTCATGCGTACACGTTGATAACAACATAGCAGGCGGTGAGAGGATTAGTGCGGCGAACATCCATTACCACGATTGCATTTATTTCCATGCAGTCGTACCTCGGTGAAGGACACACATGGGGTTTCGCTGAAAAGGTGCTTGGAGCCAGGCAAGTGTCGAAGGTTCTGAGAAACATAACTCACGATCCCCGGGATCGCGGCGTTTGATACATCAACAAAAAGGCCTTGGGCACGGGTACTAGTAGAACCAAATTGGAGGTCGAACGATATAGGGCACCTCATTTTCATCTAGATATCAACCATATCTCAAGTACACACAACACTACAACCAAGATGATATGTTGTATGCAAACACCCGAACCCATTTTTTTTGAGAAATAACCCAGGTCGACCGCACACCAAAATCTCTCCGGGGCATAAATCTCTTACATTGAGGCGCAGACCAGGCATATGCTACCCCAAACATGCCGGAAGTACCAACAACAGCACACACGTCCATCACACACATTCCTTTAACACTTTACTAGAGCCCCCCTCCCTTACCTCTCCCCATTGTTTGTAATTCAAGAGCGAGCACATGCACAACTTCCGAAATGAGGTACTGGGTTTCGCGGTAATTTCCGTCTGTAAAAATGGTGTCCCGTACTTCTAATTTATCAATTTTCCTCGGACGACGATAGGCGATGACGAGATTGATTGAGCACAACTAGGTCCTCGAATACCATCACGCCACTCTACACCCGCGGCTACAACAACACCCGTGCTGTACACAGCACCAACCAATCAAATGCAACTAACTCACAGGCTGTTGTGGCCGTCTTCTAGCCCCTTGAACATAGAGTGGTTGCCCTTGTCGAAGATCTTCAGGCGATCTTCAAGCTCCGCGTAGAGTCGTGAAGAACCCTCGGGAGGCCCTTAGCAACTTGTTCCAAGCATCGGTAGGGAAAATTGATTTCGAGGGAAATGAAGTACATACAACGGGAGAAGAACACAAGCATCTGACATGCAGCAGTATGGTGAGGTGGTATAGGGACGAGGGTCTATCGACGATCAGTTCTCGATGTCATCGTCGTCAATCCTTCTGCACATAGGCGTATCGATCAATCGCACCAATAACTAGCATCCGTCCTCGGATCGAGCAACCAGCCAATTTGTAGGCATACATATTCATGTATTTTCAGCAACAAGGGGTTTTCACACAGTACAGCATGTGGAGTTCAGAAACACACATAATTAGGATCCAATGGCCACTGCATTTCTGGTCGGCACTCTTAAAAGCATGGTGAACAAACGGCGGTCTATCGTTTCAACCCAAAATAGACCTCATATGAGGTCCTCGGTGAAGACGTCACCGCCGTATACTTCGCTCAAAGCTAGTGTCCTGCCAGCCAGCCTGGTGTGTCCTACGTCGAATATCATTGACCACGTGGTTCTGGCGTGCTGCTTGAGTATCTACAGGGACGTCGACGGAACAGTTCAGCGTTTCGTACGGTCGGCGCATGGCAACAAACAAATAGGACATACATATATTATTTTACAATGGGACATCAAGTAAAATTCTGCTATGGAACAGTGTCATCATGCAATTAGCTTTAGACATGACTTGGAACGCTGAAATACTATTGACGGACCGTAGCGAAGGAGGCACATGAGACACAGCAACAGTACGTCTGGCGCACTACACATGGGCGCCACAGGCAAAAGCACAGGCGTGCGGGTTGCAGTCCATCGAACTAAAATATGCCGGGCAACGTTTCCATCAACAACGCAGAACAGCACTCTCTCGGTTTTGTTATTATGTGATTTTGAATGGAATGCACTTCGGATGGGGGTCATCATTGAATCATACATAAACGAGGGTCATGCATGAGTAAACGTCCTAGATCTTGGTGAGATAAATACTACACCTGGAAACGAATGCGCAAGAGTGGACGTACAAGAGAACTGACAAAACGATGCCCGGGCAAACTCCAGCACAACAAGTACCTCGTCACTGACGCCCTTGATGGACTCATATTCCCTGCACCAAAAGTGGGCAAAAACGACCAGCAGGCAAACCATACAGTATAACCCTCTCTATCGCAGGGGAGGGTGGCCTTGAACACAGGTTTACACGAATGAAGCACACCTTTTCTGCTTCGGTGGAGTTCCCGTCGACCACCAGGCAGGTAGGAAATACCGTCCACGATATCGTCTGGCCCTGACTCAGGGTCTGGCTCACCCTCTAAAAAAGGGGGTACGCAACGCGCATCGCGAATGATGTCGACGAGACCATGCAGAGCCTCCCGAGTCGCACGCCTCTGGGCTGACATGAAGTCGGAACGCCCACCAGAAACAGCGTTCATGGCGTAGTCTGAGAGATTGACGTCAAAGGGAGGATGAGCCGGCGGTGTTAACTTGAGCATGAATTCTGGTGGTGGAAGAACTGCACCCAATCCAAAATGGAAAAGGCGTCAAGGTCGCGAGGGGAGCATCATATCCACTGAAGACTTAGGCTCCAAGTTTCATATTCAATATCCCCGCGGCCCGCGGACATCCAGGCTGTTAAAAATATGTCGTTGTTGCCAGTCACGAAAAGTAGAAGTCGTGTCTGATTATCGGACAAGAAACTGTTGTTTCTGAATGGATCGGAAATTACACATATATATCTGCAGGCACATTTTACATTTCACGTTTTTTCCAAGCGGTCGCACGCGTTCCGAAACGATGACAATTCTTGACTGGATTGCGCGTTTGTTTTAAGCGTTTGCAGGTGCACACAACAAGGACAACGACATCGATTGCGCAGCAAGTACTGGTCGTAGCGAGCTCATCAACGACTTCTATCACCTGCTTTCCCAGCCGTTCATTTGTAGTTGCCGCGTGGCCAGTTGGGCTCAAAGCCAAATGTGGGCCAGCTGACCCACACACCGCTTCCTCAGACCCGCAAAGACCAGACCCACCCGCACGCAGCATCATCCCAACACACGCCAAATCGATGGACAAAATGTTCATTTTTCGCTCGCGAGATAACCCCTCTTGCTGCTCTCTGTCCGAGGGGGGCTGTGCCATTTTGCTGTTGGTTCGGTCGGTGGAGAGATATAATGGAACTCCACCGGTGACACTGCACGTTGAATGACACGGATAGTCTACAACGTGCTTGGTTGCGCCTCCACGTATGTAGCTTACACATGGTGTCATGCTGCCATTGTTTTGTTTTATGGGATGCAGGGGAGCGCACGCGCAGCGGAGCTGTGCCGGTAAAAATTCGTTTGGCGGTGGTGTTGCGCATGCTGGCAGGAGCATCATACCTAGATGTCGCGGTGCTGTTCGGCATTGCGAAGGAGACTGTATTCCACGTCTTGTGGGAAGTGGTGGACGCGATCAACAACACGCCGGAGGTCGGGGCGTTCTTCTTCCCTCAGACAAGGGATGATTGATTGCGCCCGGCAAGCGAAGGAGTGGGAGGTGGGTAAAACGAGTGTGTGGTATTTTTTTCGTGTTTATCCCTTTGTGTCCTCATCATGGATGACTTTCACCGCCTACTTGTACCTCGCCCTCGTTTTTTTTCGGTCAGGCGGGTATCTTTCCTGTCATCGCGAAGACAAGCGTTAACTTGATATAGTTGTTGTTGTTGTTGTTGTTGTATCTCACATTAGCTCTATAGTCCACTAAAAATGGGGAGCCCGTGGTCTCATAACCCGACACATACGACGCCGCGAGAAAACAAAAAAACAAAAATAGCGTACAAACCACTGGGAAAAAGACAACATAATGATAGAAAGAAAAGAACAGGTATCGCACCGACCGTTCGAGAAAAGAGCCCTCGGACACCGATCAAAATGAAACAAAACAAAAATAACACAAAAATAAAGGAGGACGCTTCCCACACCCGCCGAAAGAAAAAATCAAAGGGTAACGTACCAGCACCAGGCACCACGCACCAGGGCATGGGAGTAACGGAGCAAACAGGACAAAGAGGCGGCAGATGGGCAGACAGCCAGACGTACAAAAACAAATAGTGTCGTGTTTTGTTTTGTACTCTTCCTTCAGCAACAGCATTCGGCCATACTCCTTCTTCAATCGAAACCCGAAGCACGTGGGTTCCATCTCGTGTCACCCACCCGGTTGCGCTGTCGCCCCCGGCCTTGTTTCCGACTGCGACATAGTACAGCGAGAGGCAACGAGTGGAGTTCCCCGTTTTGAGTTGTGGCTCATCTCGTGTAGTGGAAAACTTAGAGGATACAGAAGGAGGGAGAAGCGAGGCCTCGAGAAACTAAGCAACCTGGTCCCATGAATATCTTCTACCGGTCTGCGAACCACATGCAACCACCGCAGCGATCTCAGATCCATTTCGTTCTCGAACACCC